GTCGAGACTTTGACGGCTAAAGTTGAGGATTTGGACGCTATCGAAACATATCCTCTGCCACTACCACCACAATAGGCTTGTAGATTTTATTATTGTACTTTGTTAATTTATGTGTACATTTTGAATATTATACATATTGGATAATTTGACCACTATTTTTCATATGTAATTTTATTTTGAATATGTCAATTTAAATTAAAGTAATTAAAAAAAATAAAATCATACAATTAAATTAAATTTAAAAAGTAAAAATTTGAATAAATTAATATAATGAAATTGATATAAGAGAAATAATAAAACAAAATGTCAAAAACCTTGTGTGACAAAATATTTCGTGGCACAAACTATTAAATAAGTTTATTTTAATTAAAAAAAATCTAAAGACAAAAATTTTAAAAAATTGAATATTTCGTCGCGCAAAGATTTGTGCGACATAAGAATTCGTCGCGCAAAGTAGTTAATATTCGTTGCGCAAAGTAGTTAGTATTCGTCGCGCAAAGTATTTAGTATTCGTCGCGCAAAGTAGTTATCATTCGTCGCGCAAAGTATCTCTGCGTGACGAAGAATATATTTCGTTGCGCAAACCCTTTCTTTACGAGCTTTGCACGACAGAACTTGCGCGACCAAAATTTCGTCGCGCAAAGTTTGCGCAACCAAATTGTACTTTGCGCAACAAATTTATTTCGTCGCGCAAAGTGTTTTTTGTAGTGGTGGTAATTTAGGGAAAATGACCTCTCAAGACATCGTTGAATATCGGGGATTGACCAAGAACATTGAGGTTTGAGATCCGGCAACTCCAAAAAAGGCATACCAAACCCAAGTATCGAATGATGCAACGGCCTCCAGAATTATACTTTTTTGGCCCTTCCTATTCTCATAATCTCCTTGCCAAGCAGTTGGGCAATTCTTCCACTGCCAGTGCATGCAATCGATGCTTCCAATCATGCCTAGAAAACCTCGAGCCTCGACTTTTCGTAGAAGCCTTCAAAGGTCCCTAGGCGTAGGTTTGTAGAGGTACTCCCTTGTGTAGAGATTTTCTATTGCATCACAGAATCTGACCAACCACTCTAGGATAGTTAATTTTCTTACACCAAGAGAGCCTATGTATGTCCACGTTCGGGGCATGACGACGGTGGTGTTGCCTTGATTGATTGAGCATACCCACCACTAAAACAACTTCTTCCTCCTCTTCATCCAACTCACGATTTTCTTCAGCACATCTGCACTTGATTTCTTCATCTTCTCGCTGTTGCCTCTCCAACACCCTTCTCAGGTTAGACATAGAGAGTAGAATATGTTTTGTAAAATCTAAGAAATGAAAGGATAGAGAAGATATGGTGTGAGAGGTCTGAGTTAAGGGTGTAATTTTATGGAGGGATTTAGAAGACAAAGATGACACGTGACCCAATTTTAGAGGGTGAAAATCTTATTTGAAATATGATATTAGAATTTTATAATAAATATCGAAACGTGGCAACTGAAAATCTTATCTGAAATTTGAGATCTAAATGTTATAACAAAATATGGACACGTGGCAACCGAAAATGTTATCTAAAATTTTAGGTGAGAATTTTATAATAAATAGTGACACGTGGCAACTGAAAATCTTAATGGTTTAAGTATAAAAAATAGAAGATAAATTAAAATGAATAGTAATTGCCCTTGCCCTTGCCCTTGCCCTTACCCTTTGGGGTGGAAACAAAAAATGCAAGGGCTACCACTATTCATGTGAATAGTGACAACCCTTGCTTTGCCTTTGCCTTGCCCTTGCCTTTTGGGGTGGAAGTGACCTTACTAATCAGGAATTGAATTCCACCTATGGAGGATTCCTACGTTTACTTCACATCAAGCAATTGAAAAGTAAGTGGGGCCCACAAAAAATTAGGAATTGAATTCCTGATTTTGGAGGAATTCAATTCTTGTGTGGGATGTGGTATTCTAATTTCTAGAGAACTAACCTACTAGGAATTTATCTTTTTTACCCATTATATCCTCACACAATTTTCAAAATTCCAAATTTGTCATCTACTTTAATCTAACAACGAGGACATTTTAGTAATTAGTACCACTCCTATCTCAATTCCATATGGTTTAGTAAACAACTTCAATAGGAATCCGGAATCTAACTTCCCTCAATCTATATGGTTTAGTAAACAACTTCAATGGGAATCCGAAATCTAATTCTCCTCAATCCAACTCCTCCTCAATTCAATTCCTCCTAATCCAATTACGGATTAGTAAACATGTCATCAGTGTATTGGGTTTGTATTTTTAAACTGATTGCCTTTTCTCTTTCGTAATATACAAGAAACATTGAGGGGATGAGGAAAGGCTTTCCAATGTATTAGGTTTGAATTTTTAAAACCTAAAGCCTATAATTAGGCTACGTTTAAACATATTTTAAATAACATAAAAATATATATTTGATACCAAAACCTGTGTCCGGAATGTCAGATACACCTAGTGGTGGATCCATGAATTTTTCAAGGGAGGTTTAATATTTAAAAGGCTAAAAAAATAAAAAAAATAAAAACAGACAACCAATACTATGACTAATTGACTAAGGCCCAGTTTGGGATTGCTGTCACTTTTAAAAAAAGTTGCTTCTGCTGTGCTTTGAAAATAATTAGCTGTAAAGTAAAGCAGCTCCATGTTTGGTAAACAATATTTTTAAAGTGCTGTTGGTACAAAAAGCAATGTAAAAAACGTTTGGTAAATTTTAATATAAAATTGTTATAACTGTGAACAATGAATAAAATAGACATGATGTTAAAAGTGTTATGTACTAATCATGTGATGGTAGTTGTAGTGATGGAGTGGAGGTGGTGGTGGTGAGGAGGATGAGGGTGTGGTGGTGGTGGTGGATTTGGGGGTTTTGGAGGAGATGTTGGTTGTGGTGGTGGTGGTTGTGGAGGTGGAGGTGGAGGTGAAGGAGGAGGTGGTGGTGGAGGTGGTGGACGAGGTGGAGGGGTGGTGGTTGTGGTGGTGGTGGTGGAGGATGAGGATGAGGAGGATGTGGTGGTGGTGGTGGTTGTGGAGGTAGTGAATGTGGTGGTGCAAGTGGTGGAGGTGGATGTGGAAGTGGAGGTGGTGTTATTTTTTAAAATGAATGATGGTATTTTGGGAATTAAAAAAATTCATTAAATGTTCATCTCTGCTTCTTTTGAAAGCAGCTTTGAAAAGCAACCCAGAGCCTACTTTTTAAAAGCTGTTGTCAAAAGGTCATTGCTTTTAAAATAATCGGAATATTTTCTTTTTACCAAACACCTAAAACTGCTTAACTTTAAAGTGAAGCAGGTTTTTGGCCAAAAAAAGCAATCCCAAACGGGGCTTAAGGCTGCGTTTGGGATTGTGGTGATTGAAAAATAAGCAGCTTTAAAAATAAGTTTTGCAAATGAAAGTGTTTGGTTAACCAAAGAAAGCCAACTTATTTTAAAAACTAGGGTCATCCACAATAGTTTCTCAAAGCTGCTTGACCCAGCTTTGAGAAGCTTCTTTTAAAAAAAACAACCGGTCCTTTTAATGAAATTTTCATTTTTCCCATAACACCCTCACGACTTTTTTAAAATGACAACCCTTATCCTTCCCATTTTGCACTCTCTTGTCTCTTCTTCTTCCTTCTTCTGACGCAGATCAATTCTTTTTCTTCCTTTTTTTTTTTGAATAGATCAGACTTTTGGAAGAAGAACCCAAATCATAAACTCTAGTCCACAAATAATCTCATCACCGCACACTTATGATTTAACAGAAAACACAAACGAGCTGCAAAAAAATTTGAATTTTGTTGAAAAATCCTAGATTTGGGATCTAAGAAAACTTCAATTCTTCTCTCTTCTTCTTCCTTACTCCACAAATGCATAGAAGAAAACATGAACAAGGGTGGTGGTTGGGTTGGGTGGGGTTTGTCGTGTGGGGCTGGCGTGAAGGAAGGGGTTGGGTGTGGTGATATCGGGGTTGGGTAGGGTTCTTCTTCCTCTCTCTATGCTTATCAATTCTTCTTCTTCCTCACTCCAACCACAAAAAATCCAATCCCCAGCTTCCCCACCTCGTCATCACCAGCTAATGAAAATCCAACCCCCACCTTCCTCAGCAAAACAAAATCCAGTCCTCCCATTATTCACATACACAGGGCAAAGAGAGAGTTGTTACAATAGTAATTTATAATTTATGATAAAATATGTGTGCTAATTGTAGATGAATTAATCTAATCAAAATGCAAATCAAATTATTAATTAAACAAATAAATCAGAAAATAATAATAATAATAATAATAATGAAAGACATATATTTTTTTTTATAAAACAAAAACAGAAGGAAAAAACCTAGAAGAAAAAACAACGGAAAAATAAATACATTCGAAGTCAAACTTGCAACTTGGTGGAGAGGGATGGGTCTGCTGCATCAGCAAGAGCCTACACCCCTTCAACGCGACGCCCAAGCCAGGCTTCTTCCAGGCTTCCCTTTTTTGATTATTAAAATCAAATTAAAGTCTTCTTTCAAGACTCCTCTGCGTGGAAGGTAAGTTTCTTCTTCATCTTGCTTTTTCTTTTTCTTTTTCTTTTTTTTTTTCAAATATCTGGCCAGGTGCAAAACGCATCGTTTTGGCTAGGATTATTTTTAAAAAAAGAGAGATGCGCGCACAGCAAAGAAGCGAAAAGGAAGGTCACTCAGTCATTTGCTCAAACAGTTGGTGGGCACTTTCAAAGGGGCAACATCCGGCAGACTCCATAGCTTTTTCCGGCGAGGGGAGGTGCACTGCACCTCCTTGCGCCTCTGTAAGTCCGTCCAATACGTATCCGACGCGTATCGGAGAGTATACCATGCATATCGTATCCAACGGCATATCCAACAACCTATTATAATTTATAAATAAGAGTATCCTTGCTTCATAGGTGGATATAAAGAAAAAAGCTAGAACAAGAGGAAACAGCACTGATCGCATGTAGACAAAGAAGAAACAAAAAACTTACTCAGCATTAAGATATTGATGGCATGTAGAAGAAGAAGAAAAGAAATACATAAATATAAGAGAAATAACATTCAGATTCAGAGAAAAGTTCGAGTGTAGGAGCTCTGGTGGCCATAAATTTCCAAACCATACATCTCTTGTTTTTTTTTTCTTCTTGGAAATTCAAGCCTATTTATTCAACAGCCCCTTTCCTTTTTATCTTATTTATATTTCCTTCTTGTTGTTCGTACCGCTAGCTTCGCTATATATATAATTTATAGCAAAAGCTAGAATAATAAGCCCACCAAGAAAAAATGATAAGTTGGACATGGAGTAGTTGTTGCCAAAATTGCCGATCCCAACCCGCTGGCCTTTGTCTGAATGGATTCTATTGCCCTCAATGTTGTAGTTTCGACCCCTCCTTGCTTCAAGACCATCAATACAGCCTGCACGATATTCGTTGTCGAAGTTGAAAACCCCAACGTCTGTGCCTTCAGATGAGCTGATTTCATTCCTATGAATCTTCCAGGTCTCACTATTTTCCTTTTGCGAAAGCTCTTGTTCATTTCTTTCTCCAGACTTTTCCTTGGGGCTCTTGTTCAGTTGTTCAGCTTCAGTTCGAGATCCATCTGATATATACATGCAAAGATAAAAATGAAAAAGAATCTTCAAATAAGTGAACTTTGGGGAAATACTCCAAAATCTTTCAATAAATGTAAGTTACTATTGTAAAATAATTACATAAATTCTTTAGGCATGCACAAATAGAATCACATCAAGGAGAAGATCTTGAATCAAATAAATTTACATACCTGCCATTGATGAAAGCTGAAAAGAAAGTTTTTTATCCTTTGAATGTGTGTTTGGAATAGAGGATGGATCTCTTTAAAACCAGTAGAAATGCACTGTTTAAGCCTTCATCGATAAGTTTCAATCAAATAAGTAAGTACTTATGTGGAGAAGGTTCCATTGACTGAGCAGCTGACTTGACTGCTGGCAATGCAATTAATAAGAAGGTTTTTCTTTGAAAATGACTTATAGTTTATTGAAAACTAATATTGTTCTTGTTTTTAATTTCAAACCTAGGAACTACTAGTGATTTTATTAAAAATAAAATGAAAAATATTTACAGATTAACAATAATCCAAATAGAAATTAAGGCAAACCAAATCAATCCTAATCCAAATAGAAAATGATAATAGATGCACGGGCGGTCCCATCTAGTGAATGCACCAGTTGTCTTGATTTTAAGCGTTTTACTTCCATTTGCTTGAAAAAATTGCTCAACCGAACACTCCCTCTCCTACTCTAAGTCCACCCTTTCACACTACTACTCTCTCAACACCAGTTTACACCCCATTAGTAAGTTGAATAAAGAATAGAAGTGTAAAAGACTTTTGCTCAGGTGGGTGTGAACCTGTTTAACAATTGCGCTTCATGATAACAATAGAAATTAATAAAGTTTACATAATTAATTAGCATTTGTCATCATGCGATTACCTTTGTCTAAAGATAATTTATTTAATATTAGTAGCAGCCTTCACCATTTCAATTTGGATCTACAAAAAATTTTATGTCCCATCATGTGAAAGAAACACGAACACCAATATGAAAAATGAAAATTTTCCACCCACATAAAATACCTTTTGAGTCTTGACTTACTAATTGATTGCCACGAACAAGTCCATCCATATCTAGTTTTTTATGCCCCATAACCTGTGGTCTAGTCTTGACCTGCCCCATAAAATCTAGTTTTTCGCCAACTATTTATTTTTGTTCTTCTTGGCCGTGCCATGTTTTTCACTCAAGCCGCTTGCTTCATTTTTTGTTTTGCTTACTCACCATTGATATATAAAAGAAAAAAGAAGAAGCAATAACAAGAAGAACAAGAAAACCAAGAAGAAATGGTACGCTCGACTTCTTTTTGTACTTGTTGCCAACTTTGCTAATCCCAACACGCTCGCTTTTGTTTGCATAAAATCTATTGCCACAAATGTTGTGGTTTCGACCCCTCCTTGGTTGATGAACATCAACACCACCTCCACCCACTACTACGTTTTATAGTTTGCGTGACAAGACTTTGCACGACAAACAAAACTTCATCGCAGAAGAAGGGCTTGCGCGATGAAACGAAGCCTGCGTAGAGCAAACAACCGTGGATAATAATTATATATTTGCAAACTTGCGTGACGCCGTACTTCGTCGCTCAAGACCACTTTGCTCGACAACAAACATCATCATCGCATAAAGCTAGGGAAAAAAACCCGGGTAAATTTTATTTGGGGGCAAAACTTGAGCGACGACCAACCTAGTCGCGCAAGAACTATTCGTGCAACGAAACACATCATCGTCACACAAAGTTAGGGGAAAAAACCCGGGTAAATTTTATTTGGCGGTAAAAACTTGCGCGACGATTTATGTCGTCGTGCCAGAAAACTTAGCTCGACAACACGTCTTATTGTCGAGTAAATTTAAGAAGAACTTAGCGCGACGACAACTATTGTCGCGCAGAAGAGCTTAGCGCGACAACACACTTAATCGTCTTTTGCGCGACAATATTAATCATTAGCGTGACGAAGGTTTTGAGCGACGATATTTTGTTTCTTCGTTGCGCAAAGTTTGATGTTGCAGGTTCATGCGCGCCGCGCGACAGAATATTTACGACGGAACAAATTGTATTCGTCGCGCAAAGGGAGAAATCTTGCGCGACGAAAGAATATATTCGTCGCTCAAAAGCGTCGTTCTATACAAAGATCAAGCCGGCCATGGCAAAGGCAAACTGCAAAAAAAATTGCAGTTTGCCTCTGCCTGTTTCTCTGTCTGTCTCGAGCGGTATCGGCTCACAAAACTCGTCATTTTCATTTCGTTTGTGAGTTGAGCTACTTCTGCCTCTGGTACGGTCATTGGGTATGCATTTTTTGTCGTTAGTGTAAAAATTTTACTGTAAATTCATACTAACGCCCTTAATTTTCTTGTATATAGGAATATTATATGTGATTACCGATTGGTGGATAACGATTTAGAAGGTATTTTCATTGTTTTATAATATAAAATTTATTACATTATGTTTATATTGATTTATGAAATTATGTTTATAATATGTTGTTAAATTATGCATGTACGTTAATGTACGAAGTTAATTGAAATTAACTTCGTACATTTTTTTTTTTTGTAAAACTTAGTTCCCGTTCGAGGTTAGTTGGATTTCGCTCATGGATGCGAAAGCATGACTGCGGTCCAATTAATTCTTGAATTGTCCCATTATTTGGACAGTTTGGGAATGCATAGTCGTGTCACGTAATTTACAGCTACAGGATTAGATTTCGGTGTCATCTCTATACGTTCTTCGGGTGGTACATAGATATTTTATACCTACAGTACACCTCAAGAACTGTATCGAGATGCTGCCGAAATTCATCCACGTCGGAATCTAATCTCATGTAGCCGTAAATCACGTGACATGACTATGCATTCCCGAATGTGATAGGGCCCTTATCGGAGCCATAAGGTGACATAATGATTTTGTACGAATGGGAATAGGTGCGCAGACAAATACTTGGATGGAATCGAGGATTTTATTGACTTTGTACGGACACACAACCCGGGTGCAACTAGAATCCGGTGTTCTTGTAGGAGGTGTAACAACACGTTGTGGGAGACAATTGAAAATGTTCAATTTCATTTAGTAGACAATGCTTCATCTTCAAGGGCCACAAGAGTGGACAATATTGAACCTATTGTAGATCCTGATGAACAAGTCATAGATATTATAAACGATGTTTTTCCATTTGCATCGACCAACATCAATCAGGAAGGGGAAGATGACGTGCCTACACCAATTGACAGTGCAGAGTTCGATCGAAGCTTCCCCGAGTTTGCTGCTGATCCCCGAAATGTTAGATTGGGACTTGCCACTGACGGATTCAATTTGTACGGGGTTCTAAACCAACACCACAATACTTGGCCGATGTTCGTATTCCCATATAATTTGCTGTCTTGGAAATGCATGAAAAAAGAATACATGATAATGATTGTTTTGATAACTAAGGATCCTGGCAGGTCAATCGATGTTTACTTACGGCCGTTAGTTGATGAGCTCAAGGCGGGCAGCAGTTATGTGGACTGTGAATGATTTTTCCGCATATACAATGGTTTCTAAGTGGAGCACAAAGGGTTATATGGCATGCCCTGTATGCAAAGAAGATGTAACTTCTGGTTGGCACGTTGGAAAAGTTTGTTACCTTGGTCATCGGAGATAGTTGTCATGGGACCACGAGTGGCGGGAAAAGGATAAAGAGTTCGACAGGAACACAAAGCATCGCCTCAGACCTAGAGTATGGTCCGGTGATGAGATCTTGGAACAACTTGGATTTTGCTCCGTTCAGGAAAACAGTTAGTCGGATCAGACCTTCTACACATTTGAACTGGACGCACAAGCCTATGTTTTTTGAGCTCCCATATTGGTCGAAACTAAAATTGAGGCACAATCTCGACGTTATGCATGTTGAGAAAAATGTCTTTGACACATTGATGGGCACGATTCTAGATATCGAGGGCAAGACAAAGGACACGATCAAAGCTCGTCTTGATTTGGAAAGAATGGGCATACGAAAAGGTTTATAGATGAATAGGGACAGTGATAAAGCAAGAAGGGATCTTGCATTTTTTTCCATGAAACCGAATGACAAAAAAGAGTTTCTAAAGTTTGTATCGTCTGTAAAGTTTCCCGACTGGTATGCTTCTAATATCGCACGTTGCGTAAATGTTGATGGGGGTAAATTTACTAGACTAAAGAGCCATGACTGCCATGTGTTTATGCAACGCCTACTTCCTATGGGTATTCGACACCTATTTCCGGAAGATGTTGTCAAGCCAATCATATTGTTGTCCAGAATTTTTTCCCAACTGAAGGCAAAAACGTTACGAAAGACAGACATTAATCAATTGCGCCATGATATTGTCCAAGTCATATGCAAGTTTGAGATGATATTCCCTCCAGCTTTCTTCACAAGTATGATCCACATGATGGTTCACTTGCCAGAAGAGGCATTGCTTGCTGGTCCAGTCAACTATCGCTGGATGTATCCAATAGAAAGGTAATCTTCATAATTTGTGTATGCATCATTATCCCACGCTTGCTACTTGCTAATTTGTATCGTATCGTTTTATTTTGGCAGGCTTCTCGAAGAGCTAAAAAAAGCGTACGCAACAGAGCGAAGCCCGAAGGATCAATTATAGAGGCTTGGGTTCAATATGAGGCGCTTACTTTCTGTGGAATGTGTTTAAAAGATGTGGAGACGGCTTTCAATCGTCCTCAGCGCAATAATGACGGAGGTGTGAGAAATGAGAAACTTTCTATTTTTGCCCAAAGCGCACGACCATTTGGAGATCCTGTACGAGGAGAGTTGTTTTCCAGAAATGACATGGAGGTAGCCCATTGGTTCGTACTCAACAACAGTGATGAGATAATGGCATACTTAGATGAGCATGAAGAGATGATGAAGCGAGAACATCCATCACATTTGTATGCCAAGAAACACCGTGAATTGTTTCCACGATGGTTTTTGGAATATGTAAGTTATATGTGTTTTGTATTTGACATATATATTGTAGTATTTAATTTTCTCAAACTAACATGTGAGTGTGTTTGTATCATATTAGGTGAATAAGTTCAAATCATCAAATTCCCCCATTTATAGTGAAGAGTTATATAACTTGGCATTCGACCCAATTTGCGCTGAATTGTTCTCGGGTTGCCATGTTAACGGCGTCAAGTTTTTGGGGACTGCACGAGATGACAAGTTGTGTACGCAAAACAGCAATGTCCATGTCCCAAGTGGAGGTGAAAGTACGGACATTGATTTCTATGGCAAACTTACAAGTGTGGTGTAATTTCTTTACAAAGAACGATACCAAG